TTACGAGATTGCCTGGTGAAGCTGTAAATGTAAATTGAAGGCCACCATTCAAAAGTAACGTTTTGTGTATGCTAAGATGCATAAATATCCTACGTTGAATCTGTACAGAAAAATACTCTTTAGGTCATGGGACCATTATCAACAAATTTGTCTAAAGTTGCACGTTAGTTTGAGATATTTCTGCTATTGACTTCCTTTTCAAAGCTCGTTTCGTCATCTCATTTTCGTCTTTCGTTCTGTTTTCTTTTCCGGTGATGTCGAAATAAAAATAAATCTCAAGAATACAGAAAGCGCTCGTTCCTTCCCGTTTGAGCAGGTAACGGAAGCTCAGCCAACACTGATTTTGGGGGGAAGCATGGCTTAGCATTATTCCAGCAATTTCACGGTGGGGGACACCAGAAATGGTCTGCACCCATTGTTACCATGTCGAGAATCGAACCATATTCGGTGAGACGGGCGAACACTTTGACCATTAGGCTACCCTACCCCTAGCGATGCGTGTATGGTTTTACTCCGCAGTTAGCAATATTCTAGCAATGTCACGCTGGGGAACACCAAAAATGGACTGCACGCATTGTAACCATGTGGAGAATCGAACCATATCCGGTGAGACGGGCGAACACTTTGACCATTAGGCTACCCTACCCCTAGCGATGCGTGTATGGTTTTACTCCGCAATTAGCAATATTCCAGCAATATCATGGTGGGGAACACCAGAAATGGACTGCACACATTGTAACCATGTGGAGATTCGAACCATATTCGTTGAGACGGGCGACCACTTTGACCATTAGGCTACCCTACCCCTAGCGATGCGTGTATGGTTTTACTCTGCAATTAGCAATATTCCAGCAATATCATGGTGGGGAACACCAGAAATGGACTGCACACATTGTAACCATGTGGAGAATCGAAACCATATTCGTTGAGACGGGCGAACACTTTGACGATTAGGCTGCCCTACCCCTAGCAATGCGTGTATGGTTTTACTCCGCAATTAGCAATATTCCAGCAATATCATGGTGGGGAACACCAGAAATGGACTGCACACATTGTAACCATGTGGAGAATCGAACCGGGTCTTCGGCGAGACGAGGCCAACGCTTTGACCATTAGGCTACCCTACCTACCTACTTGAATGTCCGCTTGAAGGTGCGGGGAGACAGATCGGTTTTACTCACCATCTGTTTCTATCACGTGCAATTTCTGTGGTGCAGGATGGGGACCCCCCACCTCCCTTTTCCCCGTAAAACAAATTGCCTGAGGAGCATATCCCCTCACCTATGGACTCATGTGCAAAATCCAAAATCCTTTGATCCGCCCCAGTGCTGCAAGGTTGTGTGGTATGAAAACCGGTCTTGCATATTCAATATTTTGCCAGTATTATTTCAACTTGGGAACACCAGACAAGTCCGACTGCACACATTGTAACCATGTGAGAATCGAACCATATCTCTACGGATACGTGAAGGTCCGGGTTAACAATATTGACCATTAGGCTACCCTACGCCATTAGCGATGGTGGGATTGGTGGTTTACTCTAGTTTTACACAATATTCCAGCAATATCTCATGCTGTTGATCACTGGGGAACAAACTCCATTATTTACAGACTGTCATTGTAATATTGCATGTGCGGCGTAAAACTAAACTCACTCCTTCACTCACTTCTCAACGTGACAACATTGTGCGAAAGCATCTATTTTTATAGGGAAATGAAAATCGACATTTCCCCACGTGACTGACACCTATGACAGTTCCATGGCAATCTGCATTGTTTCCAGTTCTTCTTTACTCGTTTTAGGCCGTTTATTTTGAGTTGCCGTAAAAACAAACTGTTAACAGATTTTGCTCTGTCCTCAAACGTTCCTTTGTAAAGGAGGCGGTGGGGTAGCCTCATGGTTCAAGCGTCCGCTCCTTACGCTGAAGACCCGGGTTCGATTCCTCACATGGGTATAATGTATTAAGCCTATTTCTGGTGTCCCCGCAGTGATATTACTTGAGCATAATTAAAAGGACGTAAACCTAAACTCACTCACTCACTCAAAGGCTATGTCAGAGCAGTGATTGTCTTTACGAGAATGCGTGGTGAAGCTGTAAATGTAAATTGAAGGCCACCATTCAAAAGTAACGTTTTGTGTATGCTAAGATGCATAAATATTTTACGTTGAATCTGTACAGAAAAATACTCTTTAGGTCATGGGACCATTATCAACAAATTGTCTAAAGTTGCACGTTAGTTTGAGATATTTCAGCTCTCTTCATTTTCTCATTTTCGTTGTTTTCTTTTTCGCCGATGTCGAAATATAAAAAAATCTCAAAAATACAGAAATCGCTCGTTCCTTCCCGTTTGAGCATGTAACGGAAACTCATCCAACATTGATTTAGTGGGTAAGAATGGCTTAGCATTATTCCAGCAATATCATGGTGGGGAACACCAGAAATGGACTGCACACATTGTAACCATGTGGAGAATCGAACCATATTCGGTGAGACGGGCGAACACTTTGACCATTAGGCTACCCTACCCCTAGCGATGCGTGTATGGTTTTACTCCGCAATTAGCAATATTCCAGCAATATCACGGTGGGGAACACCAGTAATCGACTGCACACATTGTAACCATGTGGAGAATCGAACCATATCCGGTGAGACGGGCGAACACTTTGACCATTAGGCTACCCTACCCCTAGCGATGCGTGTATGGTTTTACTCTGCAATTAGCAATATTCCAGCAATATCACGGTGGGGAACACCAGAAATGGACTGCACACATTGTAACCATGTGGAGAATCGAACCATATATGGTGAGACGGGCGAACACTTTGACCATTAGGCTACCCTACCCCTAGCGATGCGTGTATGGTTTTACTCTGCAATTAGCAATATTCCAGCAATATCATGGTGGGGAACACCAGAAATGGACTGCACACATTGTAACCATGTGGAGAATCGAACCATTTTCGGTGTGACGAGCCAACACTTTGACCATTTGCCTACCCTCCCCTAGCGCCGTATTGACATATAAATCCAAAGTAACAAATCCCGCAATGACTGCAGGTGTACGATGACAACTAATCTGTGAGTATATTTCTGTCAGAGATCCTGTGACATAACACTGAATAGTTTGTCATACGCAGAATGTTGTGTTCGTTAAGGCAGATTGGGGTACATGCAAGTCATAGTGAGTGAGTATGGTTTTACGCCGCGTTTAGCAATATTCCAGTAATATCACGGTGGGGGATACAAGAAAAGGGGCTTCACACATTGTACCCATGTGGGGAATCGAACCCGGTCTTCGGCGTGACGAGCGAACGCTTTAACCACCGCCCTGCAAGAGATAGTTGAGTAAAGGCAACTCTGATACGAAAAAGGGAGCTTGAATAGCTTTTATTTCATTTTTATATTTTATGTTTCTTCAACCACCTCAACCCCCACGAGGAAAAACAACTAATAGAAGCAATCAAGCCCTCCTCCCCTTAAAAAAAATTAACCCAAACCAACAACACGAAATAATATAATTAAAAAACAAGCTCTAGGGCATCAGTAACTCTATCATATAAACCCTTTCTCGTGACAAACATATATATCTTCAGTTTCCTTGGTTCTCATATCTGAGGGGGCGGTGGGTAGTCTGGTGGTTAAAATGTCCGCTCGTCAGGCTGTAAACCTGGGTTCGATTCCCGACATGGGCACAATGTGTGAAACCCATTTCTAGTGTCCACTGCCATGATATTGCTGGAATATTGCTGAAAGTGGTGTGAAAACAAACTCACTCACTCAAGCATTCACACTAACAACATTCACTTCATGTAATTCTCCGAATCCTCAAATCAGTATTCATGTATTCAAAGCAATTTATACAAAATGCATTAATATTCACACCCTGTTGTGTTACATCCCTGCTCAGTTTTCTGTTCAGTTGATGTTAACTCTGCACTACTCCCTATGGCTGCTTCTTGAAAATAATCCAGACGTGATCAGAGCGAGTGAGATAGTTTAGTTTTAGGCAGCTTTTAGCAATATTCCAGCAATATCCCGGCAGGTGGGAGACACAAGACTTGATTTCACACATTGTGCCCATGTGGGGAATTGAACCCAGGTCTTCAGCGTGACAAGCAAACGCTTTAACCACTAGGCTACCCCACCTCCCCAGTCAGGTTTAGAAAATCGTGTAGTTGATGGCATGAATCCAGTCCAAAGGGGTACATTCATATACAACTAAGCTGGTCAACAAGCACAGGTCGCTGATGACCCTTGTTTAGAATTGGTCTTCAGCAACCCATGCTTGTTGTAAGAGGGGACTGATCAGTGGTCAGCCTCGTAACTTGGTATACACATGTCATCGCATCCCAACTGTGTAGATCGATGCTCAAGATGCTGATCACTGGGTTGTTTGGTCGACTATTTACAGCTTCCACCATCTAGCTGGAAAATTGCTGACAACAGACAAACAAACACTGTCAACAGAGTTGACAAGCACAGGTCACTTTGACCCAAGTAGCTCAAGTCAACAAGCACAGGTCACTTTGACCCAAGTAGTACAAGTCACCAAGCACAGGTCACTGGTGACCCAAGTTGCACAAATCAACAAGCACAGGTCACTGGTGACCCAAGTTGCACAAGTCAACAAGCACAGGTCACTGTGACCCAAGTTGCACAAATCAACAAGCACAGGTCGCTGTGACCTAAGTTGCACAAGTCAACAAGTACAGGTCGCTGGTGACCCAAGTAACACAAGTCAACAAACACAGGCAACTGTGACCCAAGTGACACAAGTCAACAAGCACAGGCAACTGTGACCCAAGTTGCACAAGTCAACAGGCACAGGCAACTGTGACCCAAGTTGCACAAGTCAGCAAGCACAGGTTGTTGGTGACATATTTTGATCTAGAAATCCAACATAATTAGCACAAAGTACATACACACATGAAGACTTACTGAAACAATCCAGACTTACAGTTCACAAGAGACACACAAAAATTCAAAACAAATGCAGTATGTAGTTAAGTATTTATTTATTCACGATTCTATGACACCAACAAAAATATGAAAACAGTTGACATGTTGATATGAAAAATGAAAATGTACATGTTACAATCATTGCATATTACTGTTTTAGGAAAATGCATCTGCTCTTTCAAAAAATGGTTCTAGAATCAAATGAAATGGCATTAAATATTTATATCCAACAAAGAAATCTATCAAATTTTCATGTCACACTGTACTAGAATAATATTGCTAAGTTAATCTTTAATCAAAGCTTGTTAGTAATGAAACTGAAAACGTCTCAATGGAAATGATATGTACAATCCAAAATATATTTAACCATTCACATACCTGTGTAAACTTACTTTGTCTGATCGTTCACATTCCTGTGTGAACTTACTTTGTCTGATCGTTCACATTCCTGTGTAAACTTACTTCATCTGATCGTTCACATTCCTGTGTAAAATTTTGTGGAAATCGTGCATGGTGCATCTTTTGTTTTCCGTCCACATGACAATCAAAATAAATGAAATATACTTATCCTGAAAAATACACATGGATGACTTCCAGGAAAACCACTTTAATTAACAACTACTGTATCATGTCATCCTCACTGATTAATTTACATTCAGTATGAAAATGTCAGTGATTGTGTAACAAGGCGATGACTCAGATCAATACAAAAGTATTCCATTTTCTTAAATTAAAACTCAATCAGGTGTGGAAATAATTTTAAAATTGATGGTGTACTCCGGTACAGTGGCACATGTAAAGTCACTTGCCCTGATAATTTTTCCACTATACCAACCGTTTTCTTGCTGATTTTTTAAAATAAACAACATACATGTAATTAACATAGGAAAGTCAACTGGACACCGGTACAGAAAGCTATACAAGTTTGTTTGCCCGACAGAAAAAAACACTGGACTTGGACGTCCGGCAATGGGTTATTTCCACCCCTGTCGATTCTAATTAGCTAAATTCTCACTTTTTTTCCACTATTCAAAAATGGCATTCTCATAATTAGACGATTAAGAGCAGGAATGACTGACTGACTGAGTTTGGTTTTACGCCGCTTTTAGCAATATTCCAGGAACATCATGGCGGGGGACACCAGAAATGGGCTTCACACATTGTACCCATGTGGGGATTCGAACCTGGGTGTTCAGCATGATGAGCCAACGCTTTAACCACTAGGCTACCCCACCGCCCCATTAAGAGCAGGAAGCATATGAAATATATTATCATGTTGACAATGTTGACAACCCTGCTGCCCTTTGATCTCACATGAAACCACATGATGATATGAATGAAGGGTATGCTATGACATAATAAACATATAATAACATGTAATGAGCAAACATCTCAACATCTAGCTTATAATAAACGTTAAAAGGAATAACTATTTACATTTAGTGAAGATCCAATTGGATGTCATCACCAAGAAGCATACTGTACTGCATGTCATGGTCGAGTGATATTTGTCTAGTGGAAGAATCCAAAGACAGTGTCAAGTCCGGGGTATGGGAACAACAACTGCTCTCATTATTGTCATGGGTGGGATTCTGTCAGGTCTTGTCAGGTCAAGAGCTGTGTTCCTTGGCAGGTGGGACTGCTTTGGTTGGCCTGTGGCTGTGTCATCCTTTTGTGGATTTGTGGTCTGGGTTTGATGCTTCTGCAATCTGCGTTCGCCTTGGTTGGTCTGTGGCTGTGCCATCCTTTTCGTGGATTTGTGGCCATGCCTTGACTATTCAGCCATGTGTGTTTGCCTGGGATGGCACCTGGCTTTCTCTCTGTAGTCACCATGATTGGGTCATGGCCACTCAGTTCACCTTGGTAAGTGATGGACTCCACCTCAGTGTTTGGGTTGGATCATGTTGGTCCCAACTCTCTTCAGTGTTTCAAGAACTTTTGCATTCTTCAACTTGTCAAATCAATAGATAATTCATTGTCCAGAGTTGAAAACTTCCCATCTGCACTTCAAGGTCTTTTTTTCTTCAAAACTGGCTCATCTAGATCATCTGAAATTTTGCGCTTCAAGCATCTGATTCCCAAGTCTGGTGGATCTGGCAATCCCAAGTCCGCAATGTAGATACCTTCAGTGTCTACTTCTAAACCTGTCAAAAAATGCTTCAAGAAATCGGCAAGATCATCTTCAGAATCACTGTTGTCTTGCACGCTGGACATTGGAGAGTGAATACCAGAGTCATCGGACATATGACCATCCATACATTTTTCAGGTGATGGGGGAATTGGGGAAGCTTCTGAAAAGTCGCTGACATAACATGGCGATGGTACCAGGCCAGGGTCTTCTTCAGGTGCATACACTGGTTCTGAAGCCAAAACATCTATCTCATCAGATGCTACTTGAGTAAGGGTAGCAGGATTCTGTTTATCAAGAATGTCCAATAAAATGTTGGTGCCATCTTCTTCGTCCATGTTCAACGTCTCCTGGTCAGGGAACTTATACTCCTCCATCTCATTATGTTGGTCCTCTTCACCAGGTTCTTTTTCCATCACTGGTCTGTCAACACCCAGACACTCTTCCAGTGCTTGTAACCCTTTTTGTATCAATGGGAGATGAGCTGGGTCTATTGTCCCAATCACTTCCTCACTCAGGTCTTCCTTACTCTTCAGGAACCCAAGGGCTTCAACAGTCTTCCTCAGTTTTTCCTCCTTCTCCAACTTCTTTGGATCAAACCCCAAATCCTCCTCCAGGACTCTCCGAGCCTCCATCACCTCTTCCATGTAGAGCTGTGGCACAACTTCAAAGTCAAGGCACTGTCCTGCCAAAATTGTCAACGCCTCTTTCAGCTCTTCCATTCTCATCCTTAATCCCTTCTTGCTGTTGTTAGGGTCCTTGACCTTCAACTTCACCCACGGAACCTGTCCTTCACAGTCGTTGAGCCACTTCTGGCAGCAGAGGTATATGTGTCTCAGCCAGTCAATGAGCTTAAATGCCTTTGACTTCTCCTCACACTCCTCTGCTTTGTATTCAGGGGATCTCCCTGTATCAGTCATGGTCATTAATTTCTCTACTCCTGTCAAAATAACACACAGATCTTGGCTCTCTATCTTTCTTTTCATTCTTCTCTTTTCACAATGAGGCAGTTCTAAAAATCTTTTAATGCAATCCGTAATATTAAGAGCCATCTTTCTCTTCTGTACAAATTTAGAAACATTTTTAGTTTCAAATTTTTCTTTTCTTGTAATGTAAGCCATGACTTCAGGAATATACTCATGAGGAACCAGACTATTGTCCATGCAATCAGAAAGCATTTTTGGGAGATGCTCTTCAATATCTTCAACAGGGAGTTTAGACCCATTATTTGGGTCCTTGCCTACATTCAGTGTGTGCCAAGGTACCTTACCAGGGAAAGCTTTTTCCCACTTTGTCCCTTCAAGGTATAAATGGCGTAGCCAATCCGACCTTTTGAAACTGGTCATTTCAGTATGTGGCAAGTACAGTATGCAGAAATGAATAATTATTGTCAGTGAAACCTCTGCAGGAAATAACGTTCAAAGTAGTATTCTTTGACAGCTGCCGTCAGTGTACTCCACTGGTAAAACACGATATATACTCAGTATAGCTCAGCTTCGCATAGGGAACTCGAATTCTCAATATCGTGCCGGTCATAGGACCTGACATTGCAGGAACAGAGTATATGGGATCCCTATTTCTATCATTTCTCTAATGATAAACAAGCGGACTTTAACATAATATTGTTAGCCTTTTGGGAGACAATTTGATTACTCTCAAAATATGCATCATTAAGTCATCAGATCATAATACCTATGATGAAATTTCTTAATTCAAGACAAGGTTTTTAAGCCTGAATAATATTCTTCTTGAACATGTACCTATATAATTTAAAACTCATTAAGATATACTGAGAGGCATTAAGTTTACTGGTCAAATATCTGTGGATGAACTTAGGCATTGTGTGAGAAATCAGTTGGGCCAGAGTAAAGCAACTGGCGATCAGATTGTAGGACCAGACCAACATCACTAGCACCCTGACCCATGTAGCAAACCAAAGCCATTGGCACCCCGACTCATAGGCCAGACAAAAGCCACTGGCACGCCGACTCATGGGCCAGACTGAAGCCATTGGCCCTGCAATCCATGGGACAGACCACAGCCATTGGCACCGCGACCCATGGGAGAGGCAATCTGTCCAATGGACAAAACGAAAGTGTGAAATGGCCTAAATCAACAGAGAAGGACACTGTCCTCAAGCCCTAATCATCAGCCTACAGCCTTAACATAGCTTCTGCTATCGTTAACACCTTGTATGACTGTGGGCATAAACCCTCACAAGGAAGAATTACAGACATCAGTCTACGCTAGGCTCTGCTATGTCACAGCACTGATACCAAGAAATTATGTTCCTCATGGTAAAGTACATATCTGGGTTCTGATCCACAAAGCATCCGGAATACTGCGACCTGTCATAACGCTATATTTTACCATAGGCTTACAAATGTCGGAGCTCTACAAACGCTTTGTGGATCAGGACCCTGAACCTGTTCTCGGTTGCTTTGACTTCTATCCTACCATTACCCGCATAAATAATTGCACAAATATGATAAAAATAGGGATCCCACACTCTCTGTTCATCCTTTATAAACTGTTCACATGAAATTCTGAACGAAGTCAATTTTATGCAATGTTTCGAGCTTCTTCTAGTGCGAGCTCTCATCAGAGGAGGCACTGGAGCCACAAAAATCTTTTATCGACAAAATGTTTCAGTCTTAAATTTAAGAAAATATATTTCACTACATTTCACAAACTTGCTACATGTGCGTGAAATTCATTTTTTAAAACATAGTGGCTCCTTTTTTTAAATACAACACCAGCACAGAATGATATTTCGAGTTCCCTTGCTTTGTTCTGAGAAACTGAACTATTTCAAACGTTTGACGACTTTTCTCGAACCTTAACAGACACAAAGCAGACACAAGTTATGGACAAAACCTTCTTTTAGACACTGTAACTGCGAAACGTCGCTACTACAGTATATTAAAGAAGGTTTATCCATAACTTGTGTTCACTTTGTAATTTGAGCTATTGTACAACATAAATATTGGATTCACCTTATTATGATTAATACTGGAAATCTATGAATATATTTCATCCTATCAATTATTCCATAAACATGACCTCCAGGAAGATGATGGCAGCTGTCAAAGAATATGATATCTGTACAGGCAAAATATTTACATGAATAAATAACACTTCATGAGCAGTTTGAACGTTATTCCTTTGCAATCAGTGTTCGGTGAATGCTGGTGAAGCTGAAAGTTAGGAAATGAACTTCGGAGATCAGTCAAGGACTGAAGTTTATGAAGTTTGTAAATGAAATATGAAGAACACTGATTACACAGAGGAAGTGAAACACAGATGACAGTTTTACCAATGCTTCAGAATATGGGTTACTGGAGAGTTTACAAATATCTAAAAATAATCTCAGTGATTTTATATGCCAATCACACACAGACCAGTGCTCTTAAATTATTAGTGACACAAAATTGATAAATCTTACATCAACTTTGAAAGTAAGGACATCTTTGTTGTGTGTTGCTGACCGACAAAATCATTGAAAACATCTTCATGTTCAGTATTGTTAAATTAGAATGCTTTTGCACAATGGTAACACTCACAAATAAATTTTCTCAAAAATGTATCTTTAGTGATATACTGTTGAAAACAATTCAAAAATTAAATTGAAGGTGATATTTCAGGAATCTCTTACAAATGAAACAACAAATATATATTTACTGATAATTGGGCAAGGCAAAACTGTCAACAATGTTTCATGGATGTCATTTGGTTGGCTGAGACTCTAGCAAAGTGCTGCAGCCCTTAGGCCGCCAGCACATGTGTTGAAGAGTCTCTGCTTGCAAGCAGCTGGGACACTCTCTGTTGCCACTGCTTGAAGCTGTTTTCGGAGGTCGGCAAGCAGCTTCGCCACTCTGGCCTGGATGCACTGAGTTTTCAGGATGTCCACATTCTGTTGACAAGGAACAGCACTGGGCGGTATCGCAGCCTCTCTGGCCTGGATGCTTTGTGTGTTCAGGATGTCCTCACTCTGTCGACTGGGAACAGCAAAGACAATGCTTCTTGGCTGTCGGGCTTCCTGTTCCTCTTGATGTGTGAAGTCTTGAATTTGTTGAGAGTGTTGTTTGCCTTGAGATTGTTGTTGGTCAGTGTGATGTTCCGATGTCTCCTTGGTTTTTGTTGCTCCCTGATTAGATTGTTGTTTCTTTGAAAACGTCTTAATCAGTACGGATGTGAACAGTCCAGCAAGGATCATGCATTGCAGATAGATGAACTGAGGCACAGTAATACTGTTTTCCTCTTTCTGGAACGGCTTCTGTTGTAGTTCTGTTAGCATTATGTCGATCACTTGTTGTTCTGTTGACCTTGTTCGAACCTGAAGTGGCTGAGTATAGACATTTAGAACATCCCTCTGCGAGTTACTCCTTCGATTCTGTTGCTGTGAAGCATGTTGAATGAACTGCTGTTGCTGTTCAGATTGAACATCCCCTGGGTCAGGTCCTGATAAAGTAAAGACACATTACGATCAGCATTGTCACTAAATCAATCATTCTGTATGTTCCTACATCGCCTAATCAACATACTGTACACATTGACAATCTTTAAAAGTATTACATTTTGCTCCCAGAGATAATGTGATGCACAAAATTGGGAAACAGTCTACAATGTCAGGGTGGGATATATCACAACAGTCTACAATGTCAGGGTGGGATATATCACAACAGTCTACAATGTCAAATTGGGATATATCACAACAGTCTACAATGTCAGGGCGGGATATATCACAACAGTTTACAATGTCAGGATGGGATATATCACAACAGACTACATGTCAGGGTGGGATATATCACAACAGTCTACATGTCAGGTTGGGATACTGTAAACGATCCTGACTTTTTGCATTTTAAGCATAAAATCTTTTGCTTAAACCTGTCATTCATTCAGTCTAGCCATGCTCGCCCCTGAGTTGTTACCATAACACATCAAGTTTGAAGACAGAAATCTACTGGAATCTTAAAATGACGACTGATAGTAGCATAAAGAATCTAAATTAACTGTCGCTGTAATGTATTTCCCAAAACATAATGTAATTTTTTGAGTAAAATTGATATTTTATACTTATCCTGACTCATGCTCTTTTGCTTGTCTTCTTCTTCTTGCGAACATAGTGGAACACTTGTATCTCCTTAATTGAAGCTCCCTTCAATGTAAAATCACTAATTGCTACTCACCAAGAGTTGCCTCCCTTGCCCCTTTTTGGCGGGAACAGGTGTCGCCACCCTCTGGCCTCATGTTTCACTCTCTCCTGATTTTGCGAGCCCAACACTTGAATTTACAGGGAAATCCAAAGTGTTATGTGGGGAGGATGGGAGGGCTAACCTCATGAGTCAGGATAAGTATAAAATATCAATTTTACTCAAAAAATTACATATTTTTCCTTATCCTGACTCATGCTCTTTTGCTTGTAGAATCCTACGGAAACGGAGGTGGGCAAAACAGAATACTTTGGATTTATAGAATTAGTGATTTATATAGATATAACTGTAATAACCCCTACGGGAACTTCATAAAGGCATAGACTTAGGATAATTCCTCTATTATAAGCCATAGGTTATAATGCCATACTGGGGTATTTACATTAATAATATACTGAGATATTATAAACAACAATATCAAAGCGACTCTGATAGAGAAGCTATACCACTGAACATATATACATACTGCTAGAACTCCGTAGAGTTATAAGCTAGATAATGCATGTAACAATTATGCATATTAATCTCGTAAGACTACGTGTTAACGTTTACGAGGGACTGTCAACTGCTGTCTTGAGGACCAAGGGACCGAAATGGTGAATGCCTGAGGCGTCCTCGGTGGTGATATCTCTCAGGTACTGATTAGCAAACACCATGTTAGATTTCCAAAGCATCCTTCCATAATTGTATTCAATGAACAGTTACCGTGTAGAGGCGAGTGGGAAGCTAAAGCCCTGATCTCATGGGGATTTGATGCTGTTGGAGGGTCCAGTCCTGCTGCCTTGTAGGCTGCCGAAGTATGACAGTTCTTATCCATATAGATATGGTGGTGCGAGAGACTTCTGTCTGAGTTGTTGCCGACAAGGGAATGAATAATCGTTTGAGAAATCTTAAGCCTTGTTTTGGGCACGTCGTAAATAGATTTTGAGAGCTCTGACTGGGCATAGAGATAAGTCCAGTGTATCTTGAGATCAGAGAATGGAGGATAATGCAGGGATATGAAATAACCTGTCTGGTTGACCTGGTAGTTGATTTTTGGCGATGAAATCCCATCTTAATCCCAGGTGTGCTGTGTTTTGATTGTCATCAAACTGTATCCTCTCATAATCTAGTGCGTGAATTTCCGACATCCTGGCTGCTGTGGCTAGAGATAACAGGAAAAGCGTTTTCTGTGAGAGAAATTCAAAGTTTGTCGATTCCAACGGTTCATAAGCCTCACTTGTGAGGTGTTGTAACACTATATTCAGATCCCAAGCTGGGACGTGGAACTTCCGCTTTTGGTCCTCCAATCGGAAAGCACGTAGTAAGGCCAGTAACTCTGGAGTTTTTGTCAATTTGACACCCGTTCTCATGGTAATCACAGAACTAAGCGTGGCAAGATATGTTGACAATGTCGAGCCTTTTAAATGTTTGTTTTGCCGTAAGTAACACAAATAATCTGCCACTTGTGGATGAGTAGCATCTCTTGCTGTAAATCCCTTATTTGCTGCGTAATTCTCAAAACTGTGCCACTTGTCGTCGTACAAGTTACGTGTAGAATTGCGTAATGCAAGCGTGACCGCTTTTGCCGCCCTGGTAGAATACCCTCTCTTGTTTAAACACATTTTAATACAGTCCATACGTGAAGTTGGAATACTTCTGGGCTTCCGTTCACCTGTCTGGTGTGTGGATGTATTAATAGATTTGGCTTTGGGTAGCTCTAGTGTTGGTTGACCGATTTCTTGAATTAGAATGGAAACCACGTTCTCTGGCCGACCAGTAGGGCGCCAAAAGTGAGTTGGAGGCTCTGTGTTTGTCTGATTTTCTGTAACACTTGAGGTATTATTGCTGGTGGCGGAAACGCGTACGCATTGAGGCCTTCCCAGGATATGCTTAGAGCGTCCGTTGCCCATGCTTGTGGGTCTGGGACTGGTGACACGAATGTCGGTAGCTGATTGTTGAAGCGTGTTGCGAATAGATCTACTAGCGGCACTCCTATTTGCTTGATTATCTGTGCAAATTTTTCTGTATTGAGCATCCATTCTGTCGGTGGCGGTTGATGTGGCGAGAGAGTCGTCTGCTAGTACATTCTTGGCTCCGGGAATGTGACATGCTCTGACATGTAGGTTTAGATCGTGTTTTAGATTGAACAGTTGAAAGCTTAAAGTCAATAGGTTCAGTGATCTCGTTGAACCTTGTTTGTTCACATAGAACGCCACTGTCGAGTTGTCGGTATGAATCATTAAGTGCGCATTCTGTAGAATGGTGCTCCAATGAAGTATGGCGTTGATTACAGCTTTCATCTCTAACATGTTTATATGGAGCTTGCTTTCTTGCTGATTCCATAACCCTGATGCCGTCCGGTTGGCGAGATGAGCTCCCCAACCTTGGAGCGTCTCTACATATAGATGGGTTTTGAATTCCTGCTCTTCTAAACAAATACCTTCCAAAACATTGACCTCCTGGTCCACCATAGTAGATGAGGTCTGAGACGCGTTTGGTAGACTGAATGGTTGTAGGTCGTCGAGATGTGCATTGATGAAGACCTGTATTGGGCGTAACTGTAATCTGCCTGAGACTGTCATGTCTTGGGCTGATGTGAGGAGACCCAACACGCTCTGCCATTGTCGTAGTGGTAACGGAGAGAGTAGAGCTGGCGGAATGGTCTGTTGGATCTTGAGCCAACGGTCTTCTGGTACTGACGATCGGTTGTGATTAAGTAATAAATCGAATGCCTAGGAACTGCAGATCTTGCGATGGTACTAGGTCCGACTTGAGTAAGTTTACTAACCATCCTAGCTGTGTTAGTAGCTTTATGATGTAGTTTAACTGTAGTTTGAGACGCTGTGGATCTTGATCTACTTGTATCCCGTCGTCGAGGTAGAACGCGACTCATGTAGCCCTAGACGATGTAGATAGGTGACAATAGGTTTCGTTATCCTCGTGAATAGCCAGGGGCTGATGATATGCCGAATGGGAGTACTTTCCATTGGTAATGTAGCCCGTCTAGTGTAAATCTTAGATATTTCCTGGATTAGGGATGTATCGGCATATGTAGATATCGTCTTGCAGATCTATACTGGCCATGTAATCCATGGGGCTTAATCAACTGCGTAACTGAGGAAGGTGTATCATCGCGAAACTTTGGTGGTTTGGCGTGAGATAATTCCTGTTGAAAAAGCTCATGTTGTAAATGAGTCTGTATTTCTCCTTGGAGTTTTTCTTGGGTACTAGGAAAACTGGGGAGTAGAAGCCTGGTTCGATGTTTACTTGATCTAGTACTTCTATGGCCTGCTTGGTTATGAGTGATGTAACCCTCTCTTAACTTTGGTAGTTGTTGTGCCTGTAAGTTCGAACTTGTAAGGGTTGACTGTCAGCGGAGGCGCGTGGCCTGTAGTGGGATCTGAAATCCGTGTTGAAGAATGTTGGAGACATAAGGGTCTTGTAACATTCCCCAGTTCTCCCAGTGTAGTTGGAGGCGTCCACCCACTTGTGGCGGTTGTACTGGAGCGGCTGGGGTGGAAGACTCCAGTCGTTCGAACCTGTCTTTCAGCGTTTATAGTTGCGGGGAACCTCTGGGTGTCCTGCCTCTTCCTGACCCTCCTCTATAGTTGCCATATGGGCGATGAAAAGAATCTTTCCCCTGGCTGGCTATCTTCCTATCCCGTGCTTTCTGTAGTCCCGAGAACTTAGATCTCCCTGAGTATCTTTGTGAAGTCTGCCTGATGACGCTGGCTAGCGAGTCCATCGACTTGATCATAAGGACTTCTCTGGAGTCCTTAGTGACTTCCTTGGAGACTTTGTCTATTCCTCCGTCAAAGATGTTTGGGGATGACCACGGGGCTGTATAGAGTGGAGCTGTAAAGTTCTCACCCCAGCTGCAGGAAGCGAGGAGGCCTTGACGACGAGCTAAGGTCAGTGCTGCTGAGACAGATGTGAGATGATCTGTAAGGAACTGCTGGTCCTTCTTTTGCATCAGTAGGGCGAGTAGATCATCCTATCATCTTCAGAGGTCGATACGAAATCTGGTGATAAGTGTCTCATAGATCGCTTCTAGATCTATTTAGGCCAAAACACATGCGTCTCGTCATGTTTTCTATCTGCACCAGCTTGCGATCGTCAATCTTGTAGTTCTTGTTCTTAACATCGCTGATCAGCTTGTAGTTGTCATCGATGTCTTGTGCCTTCAGGAAGGGGTCCATGTTGTGCGTGGAGAACTTCTTAGCGTGAAAGTTCGGCAGATGTGGTGTCTGCACTTTCGTAGCTTTAATGAAGGCTGTATCTAGATTATGTGGCACCGTGAGCAATCGGATCGATCGGAGGTAAGGTGATGGCGTCTGCATCGCCTCTTCCTTCATCAGGTATGTCTGCGCTGAGTTGCCACTCTTGGACGGTGAAGATAAATCTAGGTTGTTTACCATTCAATATCTTATCTCGGCGTCTGAGAAGATGATGCCTCCATCATCTTCTGTACCAGCATCGGAGATGAGAGGTTGATGCTCTTCTGATGGTGACCTGTGGGCTGCTATCTCTATGTCGGGTGACACTCGGGGAGACCTGATTGTAGACCTGTGTGCCGACTTGTGTGGTGACCTGCGAGGTGATGTACGTGGAGATCGGCGTGGTGAACGGCGTGGAGATCGTCTAGGTGATCTGCGTCTATGGGAAGACCTAGATCTGCGAGGAGAATGTTGACGGCTTCGTGAAGCTCTTGAATAGTCCCTCGACGTCCTTCTGGACGATGACGATCTGTGTGACGGCCTTCGTGCAGCTTCCTCTGCGTCCGGACCTGGGAAGCGGCGCCTTGACTTCCGTGACGGTTTCCGTGACGTCTGGTGGTCTGAGTCTGCATCTGAGGATGAGGCCGAGGACGGTGACGATCTCTCCCGTCTTCGCGAAGACTGTACATCTGCGTCCTTCGTCGAGGTGGTCTGTGACTTCCTTCTCGAAGGCTGCTTCGTCGTGGCTGCTACGCTGACTGGGGTATCGTCTGCGTTGCTCGGGCCCTGGGCTGGCTGCTTCCCTCGACTGTAGCGGCCCTCCATCATGGTCATGATCTGCCGTAACAGCTCGTCTGGGACGGTCTGCGACGAAGTAGTCGGTGCCCTCTCTGCGATGACAGCTGCTGAGCCCTCAGGGAAGTCGTCTGACATCAGTGTAGAGGCATCAGGCTGCATGGCGATCTCTGCTGATGTCACTGTAGCTGTCACCGGTCGCTTCTTGTGGCGTACGTCAGGGATGATGATCGGCTGATCATCGTAGAGGCCCAGTTCGGCGGCTGGAACGATCTCGGCTGAGAAAGTTCTTGACGATTTCGTAGACTTCCCCTTGGATGCCGACGCTGCCCTGGGGGTCCGGAGTCTGCGTTGGGAAGACGTCGTGGCCCTCTTGGACTTTAGCTGCGATGACGGGACGTCTGGGGAGGCAGGACGCTTCTTAGAGGTGGCGGACTGCATCCCACGCCCATCTTCCGACGGAGTCTCTTGCGAAACACCAGACGGGAGGGGGTCTATCGACAGCAGCTGACTGGAAGGGGAATCCGATGTATCGGCCATGTCTAACCCTTGTTTGCGTGACCTATCTGCGGTACGCCTCACGGCGCAAAGATATTTTGAAAAGCAGAATTGGATAGATTAATGCAGTAACTGCAACGTATCAAACGCATTAAGCGCGAGCACAACTAGGGCATAATACATGGGGTCAGCAACCTAAAAACGTAAATTGCCAATAGTACAGATTTTCATCAACGTAAATACTAGCTGAACAATCACGAACTCACGTGAATAAACAGTAGAAATACGATTAATTATCAATGCAAATTAATGAAGGATACTAGCTATACCTCTATAGTAACCTATAAGAGGTAATAAACTAAGAAAAACCAAAGGATATAGTGTGTAAGGAGACACAGGCGCTCTCACATCCTGCTCACTGGGCGAAGAAGGAGAGAGTGAAACATGAGGCCAGAGGGTGGCGACACCTGTTCCCGCCAAAAAGGGGCAAGGGAGGCAACTCTTGGTGAGTACCAATTAGTGATTTTACATTGAAGGGAGCTTCAATTAAGGAGATACAAGTGTTCCACTATGTTCGCAAGAAGAAGAAGACAAGCAAAAGAGCATGAGTCAGGATAAGGAAAAATATTAAATAATGAGCCAAATCCCATCGCCGAATTAGCAAAAACAGCAATGTGTGTTGTGGCCGCCATGGAAATTGGTCACATGACAGATGGTTTGATACAAAACAGATTACCATGAAACGACTCGGAAAGAAATAATACAGCAGTATTTTATGTATTCATTAAGATTCTATTTACCAGTACATGTACATCACGGAGCGAATAATCACTTAACACTCAATCATCTCATTCACAACAACCCGGCTTGTTTGAAATCACAACGAGCTTCATATACAGTAGAAGTTAATTCGTCAGATCGTCAGAATTCGGAACATAAGACTGATGTGTTTTTCATCTCTTCCATGAGTAAACGGATTACTGTGTACTAGTATATCGCACAGATAGGGATTCCCTGTGAGTATGCAATAAACGCCGCCTGACAGGTTAAGCCACTCTGTTTGTTTTCACTGCTATTAGTGGCGGCCAAAGAGACGGCTGGCAGTTCCGGCAATTACTGATTGCGCGAATAATTGACCGCGCGATGTAGTCTAAACTGTCAATTCCGCGAAAATTGCACCACGCGAAAATAAGTACGTTTACAGTATATCACAACAGTCTACAATGTCAGGGTGGGATATATCACAACAGTCTATAATGTCAGGGTGGGATATATCACAACAGTCTACAATGTCAGGGTGGGATATATCACAACAGTCTACAATATCAGGGTGGGATATATCACAACAGACTACAATATCAGGGTGGGATATATCAAAACAGTCTACAATGTCAAATTGGGATATATCACAACAGTCTACAATGTCAGGGTGGGATATATCACAACAGTTTACAATGTCAGGGTGGGATATATCACAACAGTCTACAATGTCAGGGTGGGATATATCACAACAGTCTACAATGTCAGGGTGGGATATATCACAACAGTCTACAATATCAGGGTGGGATATATCACAACAGACTACAATATCAGGGTGGGATATATCAAAACAGTCTACAATGTCAAATTGGGATATATCACAACAGTCTACAATGTCAGGGTGGGATATATCACAACAGTCTACAATGTCAGGGTGGGATATATCACAACAGTTTACAATGTCAGGGTGGGATATATCACAACAGTCTACAATGTCAGGGTGGGATATATCACAACAGTTTTCAATGTCAGGGTGGGATATATCACAACAGTCTACAATGTCAGGGCGGGATATATCACAACAGTTTACAATGTCAGGGTGGGATATATCACAACAGTCTACAATGTCAGGGTGGGATATATCACAACATTCTACAATGTCAGGGTGGGATATATCACAACATTCTACAATGTCAGGGTGGGATATATCACAACAGTTTACAATGTCAGGGTGGGATATATCACAACAGTTTACAATGTCAGGGTGGGATATATCACAACAGTCTACAATGTCAGGGGGGGATATATCACAACAGTTTACAATGTCAGGGTGGGATATATCACAACAGTCTACAATGTCAGGGTGGGATATATCACAACAGTCTACAATGTCAGGGTGGGATATCACAACAGTCTACAAAGTCAGGGTGGGATATATCACAACAGTCTACAATGTCAGGGTGGGATATATCACAACAGTTTACAATGTCAGGGTGGGATATATCACAACAGTTTACAATGTCAGGGTGGGATATATCACAACAGTCTACAATGTCAGGGTGGGATATATCACAACAGTCTACAATATCAGGGTGGGATATATCACAACAGTCTACAATATCAGGGTGGGATATATCACAACAGTCTACAATGTCAAATTGGGATATATCACAACAGTCTACAATGTCAGGGTGGGATATATCACAACAGTCTACAATGTCAGGGTGGGATATATCACAACAGTCTACAACGTAGCAGGTGTGGAAATAACTTTAAAATTGCTAGTGTACTCCGTTGCAGTGGCACATGTATAATCACTTGCCCTGATAATTTTTCTGCTATACCGGCTGATTTTCTTGGTGATTTTTTAAATAAACAACATAATTAACATTGGAATGTCAACTGGACACTCGTACAGCATGATGTACAAATGTGCTTGCCCGACAAAAAATACCCACTGAACTCTGACGTCGGGCAATGGGTTATTTCCACCCCTGCGTTACCTTCCAACTTATAAATATCCATCAAGCATCAGACAATCCAGTGTTTGACATCATCAGCATAGATCTACACAATTGGTATTGTGAAAGAAAACTCACCATAAAATTGGTTTGGATCTTGTTGCGGAGGTGCAATTTCTTGTGGAGGTGCTCGATCTCGTTGAGGAGGTCGAACGTGTTGAGGAGGATCTCCATCTCTTTGTTGAGGATGTTGAATGACTTGTGGGGGGTCTCCATTTTCTTCATTCGATTGAACAGACCCCATTACTGCTAAGCAGCCTAAAATACACAAAATAAAACATGTAAATAATAAAAACACAAACTGGTGAAACTTCAATATTATTTAATGAATGACAGAACCTTTCAAAGGATTCAGAAAGCTTATCCAATGATAACTTGAGTTCTCTCTCTACAGTCTCCTCTTGAACATGTTCATTCAAAACAATGAATTTGGAAATAACGGAATGTCTGAACACACATCATGTTTGTTTGACAGAAACGACTGAGAATCAGCCTGACCACAATAGTAGTCTCAAGAAACAAGCTATTTTCAGTAGACTATGAAGGTGGTCTCTGGACAGACATTCCGCATACTAGACCTCAGTGGCTGTCCCTGTGCTCATGCTCTTTGAATCAGACAACAGAGTGATTATCATAAATAGGATGTATTTCACGTGCTTACCAACGAGAACATTCACAGAAGTCATATTTGCATATCTGTTGATCTGGATGCACGTAGTTTCACGTTGTTAAACTGAAACAGGAGAATATTATCTGGTATAGAAAATGCAACATGGAGACAAACAAGTTGGCTCTTAGCAGTGACAAGGGAAATAGCATTTAATCTATGATCCCCGTGTGGTGATACTGCTTTCTAATATGTTTACAAATATTTCACCCTGGTTGATACACTTATGTGAGTAAGTTTGTTTTACACCGCTGTTAGCAATATTCCAGCAATATCACGGCAGGGACACCAGAAATGGGCTTCACACATTGTACCCATGTGGGAAACCGAACCCGGGTCTTCGGCGTGACGAGTGAACACCTTAACCACTAGGCTACCCCACCGTCCCAGATTCACAAAAGGAAGCCAGCAGAGAACAGCAGAACTGTGGTATATGAGGAGAGGAATGTCTGAATAACTCCTTGGTTAATATTTTATGTGAGTTGGTAAAATGTGTGTTGATACACTTCCTAGATATCAACCCAAAATTTCAAAACTATCCCGAAAATGTATAGACTGGAGAATTATTGGAGAGCACCTGGCCCTCATTAAGTGATTCACACTGTTGTCTGTACCTGCTAAATGTGTACACAGTATTTAATATACTGAAGAATAATCGGAGACCACCTGACCCTCATTAAGTGGTTCACACTGTTGTCTGTACCTGCTAAATGTGTACACAGTATTTAATATACCGAAGAATAATCGGAGAGCACCTGGCCCTCATTAAGTGATTCACACTGTTGTCTGTACTTGTTAAATGTGTATACAGTATTTAATATACTGAAGAAAAATCGGAGATCACCTGACCCTCATTAAGTGGTTCACACTGTTGTCCGTACCTGCTAAATGTGTACACAGTATTTAATATACTGAAGAATAATCGGAGACCACCTGACCCTCATTAAGTGGTTCACACTGTTGTCTGTACCTGCTAAATGTGTACACAGTATTTAATATACCGAAGAATAATTGGAGAGCACCTGGCCCTCATTAAGTGATTCACACTGTTGTCTGTACTTGTTAAATGTGTACACAGTATTTAATATACTGAAGAATAATCGGAGAGCACCTGGCCCTCATTAAGTGATTCACACTGTTGTCTGTACCTGTTAAATGTGTACACAGTATTTAATATACTGAAAACAACGTACTACACCAACAACTCCAGTACTTCGACCGCTCTCCTCATAAATAATGGAGCACTCAAACAAGAGATTGACATAAATGTAATGGATATGCTAAAACAAGAGATTGACATCACTAATGTGATCTTAGAGCATATGTTAAAAATCTAAAGAAATCACAGAAATTATAAACAATACCCAGTGGTGAGTATGCATCATAACTGATTTCAAAATTTCAGTGAAGCCATCAATCTAAAATGAAATCACAGAAAATGTGGTCTATAAAANGACAAAAATAATGAGTGGTGACATATTCCATTCAACACTGTCTCCAGTGAATGTGTTCTTCAATGAAAATGTGACATGTTTTCATCAATGTGTTCTTCAATGAAAATGTGACATGGTTTCATCAATGTGTTCTTCAATGAAATGTGACATGTTTTCATCAATGTGGTCTCCAATGAAAATGTGACATGTTTTCATCAATGTGTTCTTCAATGAAAATGTGACATGTTTTCATCAATGTGTTCTTCAAAGAAAATGTGGCATGTTTTCATCAATGTGTTCTTCAATGAAAATGTGACATGTTTTCACCATCGCGATACAGTCTTTATGGTGATTGTGCTGTGTTCGTAATTTCATACTTTGTTCGGATGACATGTTAACTTACAGGTTTACCTAGCTACCGGTGAGATCATAGTCGCTATTGAGTTGGTTAGATGTTGGCGAGTTTGTTTTTGCCTTAGTTCTTGACAATATCTGGTATGCTCACAATGATATCAAACTCTTGCACACTTTCAATGTTTAACGTCCAGAATGTGGCGGGGATATTTTAATGTCATGAGTTGTTTTAGCTCTTGTGTTTGCTCATTGCTTGATAAGCATTATCAATGCATTCACTGTGTCATGTTTCATTACATTCCAGGTAGGAACCAGACTTAGTATGTTTTGTCTCTCATGTGAACTGATCTATTCAATCATCTGTGTGTCACGAGACAAAAGTATGACTGCTCCATTTGTTTGTAATGTTTTAGGTCAGCAAAATGTCAACTTTCGTGTTGTTTTACATTAAGAAAAGGAAAGTGTACCACATGCATATGCTACAGATATGGTGTAATTGTAACGAAACCCGATGATCACTTGACATGATATATTATTAATATTATGACGTCACAAGGGCGGGTCGCAACCGTTTGTTTACATCTCTAGGTTATCTACATTTCGACAAATCACTGACAACTATTTAGTCTATATCATGACAACCACAACGATGTGTTGTGGAGAACGTAAGGCTAAGATCATCTCAATCCGACCGCCGTTTCTTAGAACTGACTTAGTGGCCACCACCAGTCCGATCTGTCACCGTCAGCGAAAATGTCTCAGCCGAATTCTACCTCGCTACACTGGAGTGTGAAACTCAAACACGAATCCCTCGTCATTAGAAGATATGAAATGTAATGTCAGCACAAACACAGTTATTTTCAAAGTATATATTCATATAAAACACTCACCGGTTGCTACAAACTGTTACGCACAGCTCTGCCTGGTTGAAGTCAAAATGAAAATGGACTGTTGTATGTGTCTTGTGCAATATCCTCCGCTTGAGGTTAACCTCGACCAATCAAATTTCAGATTACATAGACAAGATCGGGGAATCCCCATCGGTTAACCGCTTGGTAAACTAGGACGCTGTCTACAAAAGCAAGCTGAAGAGTTGTTTGCGTAGCGCATTTTCTCTGCGATTACAGTTTAAGTGCTGTTGCGTGTTCATAGGGCCATCATTATTTTATTGAACCAAGCATATTCTAACAGTTGTATGAATCAGTCGTGGCAAGAATTGAGAAGCATTGAAAATAATCAGAGATGTTTGTCTGCGAGGCAGACAAACGCTAGAAACATACGAAAAGACAATATTTTTTCATTACTGGAGGCCCCCAGCCCAGAAATACAGAATTATTACACTAGCGAGTGTGTCATTGCGATTTTGACGAAACGAGGGTGAAATTTTGTATTGCCCGAGCGAGAACGAGTGTAATGATTTCTTTGTTATATTACACATTTGTGCAGTAAATAGAGGCTACTAAACGACCTTCCGTGTCATACCATTTTTATTAAACTGACTGACTGAGTTTAGTTTTACGCCGCTTTTAGCAATATACCAGCAATATCAAGGCGGGGGGACACCAGAAATGGGTTCACATATTGTACCCATGGGGGGAATCAAACCCAGCGAACGAGTGAACGATTTAACCACTAGGCTACCCCACCTCCCCATTTGTTTCATTAAACGAGTTAATAATACTAAATCGTTCACGAGTGTAATAAAAATGGTATTTCACGGAAGCGGGCTTAGTATTTTGTTTACACTAGTGTCATACCGCTAGACGTATGACGTCATAATGGTTTACAGTTATGACGTCACAATGGTAATACCTCTGTCACAATGGTATTAGACCTTGCTTGACTCGTGGAAAGCTGAAAGTCAATACAACTTCGTAGGCAGTTTTTATCAGTTTATGTTGGAGAGTAAACTCGCATCCGTGAAATTCCAGTTATATTAAACTCGTGAAAGATTTAGCATCAAACTCTCTTTCGCTCGTTTGATACCAAATCATCAACTCGTTTAATAAAATGGTATTGCACGGAAGGTCGTTTAGTATCCTCTATTTATTACCTACGAGGGCGAACATATCGGGGAAGACATATAGTCTGTCCACTGAATTGACAAATACTCACGCACGCACGCACATACAAACTAAGAGAGAGAGAGAGAGAGAGAGAGAGAGAGAGAGAGAGAGAGAGAGAGAGAGAGAGAGAGAGAGAGAGAGAGAGAGAGAGAGAGAGAGAGAGAGAGAGAGAGAGAGAGAGAGAGAGAGAGAGACTGGGGAAACTGTGTGTTAGGGTGGGTCTAATTCTTGTTCCAGAGGTTGAATCCAGAGGCAAGTGACTGTGGGGTTTCTATTTCATATTTTGGTTTTTTATTTAATATGCTGACATCATACAGTACATGATATTTATTTGTTCAGTTGACTCAACACATTTATTCTCACTCAACATAACAATGTAACGAACGTGGAAGACGCCTCCCGCAGGAAGAGAAAGTCCCAGCGTATATCTTGAAGGACTCGCGAAGCACTGGACCTATATAACTGCAACTTCCCCAGCCAATGGAAAATATCAATAGGCAAACTCGACTGAACGCATAAAGCTTCTCCAACCAATCAGATCATGCCAAATATTTTGGATTTCCCCAACTAAAAATAGATATGACGTGTTCGTGTTGCTTCCTCGCTTTGTCAGTCGTTGTGAGAGGGTGTTTGTTAACGATTGATCTGCTTTGAACTAGGGAGAACTGGTTATGAGTTCTGTTTACAACAATCAGCTTGCAGTGGTTCTAACCCTACATAAACCCTACATAAACACACGCACCTGCGTCAGCACTACTGTACGTAGCCGTTTTGTTTTATATAGAGAAAAAAAATGAATCAGGTAAGACTTGCACACGCTCGCCAGTTACTGAATTGCAACAACTCACAGTTAGTTAGAATACTCTCCCTGTAATCAGTGACCTCTTCGGGAATTTTACTCATGCAATAACGTATTGTTTACTTCCCTGATGCGCTATACTAATATATGTGTAAGCTTAAAATATATCTATAAATCTCAAAATAAGTCTCAAACTTTCACAGCTGAAAAAGGAAATGACCATAGGCTGAAGAGCTGATAAGGACACAAGAGTTGAATTGGGTGTGAACTGCTCTTTTATTTATGATGGCATAAATTTTAATTGATACTGCAGAAAACAAAAACAACAGACACACGCACGCACGCAAGCACGCACGCACACACATACGGGATAAGAATATTCATGGAAAGGTACTTAACTGTGCATCAGCTTGATAACCGACTGAGGTTCGACTTGAGGAAATATTGACACCCATTAAGATGTATAAATTCGTATTTCCTCACCGTACCCGTGAAGATCCTGGTTAGAATGGATCTTCAGTAACCCATGCTTGTCGTACGAGACGACTAACATGATCGGGTAGTCAGGCTCGCAGACTTGGTTGACATATTATTATTCATTTATTATTATTACTGGATATTTATATAGCGCACATATCCACGCCCTAGTGCATGCTCAAGGCGCTGGTATTTTTTTCTTCCCCCTCGATTAGATGTCAGTCTCAACGGCACATCTTATTATCAATCTCAGCTCCCTGGGGATCATACAACTCTTGCTGCCACAAGGTGCACCGAGTTATTGCGGCTTTCCCATCCTTACGAGGTACCCAATCACAGCTGGGTGGACTGGGACACATAGTCACAGTACTTTGTCCAAGTTTTACTGCACGTTGCTGTGTCCGCAACTAGGTGTTTGCACGTATTCATGTGGCCACCATCTGGTCATATGCCAACGGATTCGTGGGTTCTTTTAAGTGCACAGGGTTGTGTACTGTACACCAGGGGTTGTGACAACACTGAAAGAGTCTGCACACAAAGTTGACTCCAAGGTTTTTTACACCCGGCCACAGGTGGGCTCGATCCCGGCACCTCATGCCCGCTGGATTACTAGCCTGGCGCCTTAGCCAGCGCCTTTGCCAGCTCGCCCACCACATATGCTCGCCTACCACATACGCCATCGTATCGAAAATGCGAAGATCGATACTCATGCTGTTGATCACTGGATTGTCTGGTCCAGACTCGATTATTTACAGACCGCCGCCATATAGCTGGAATATTGCTGAGTGCGGCTTAAAGCTAAACTCACTCGCTCACCGACTTCTGGAATGCTAACCAGACAATTAGGAGGTCAAAGAAGATCAAGTTTAGGAGTTTACAGCTTCTTCTTTATTGCAGACCCGAGAAGATCCGGGGTAGAATAGGTCTTCAGCAACCCATGTGCTTGCCATAAAAGGCGACTATGCTTGTCGTAAGAGGCGACTAACGGGATCGGGTGGTCAGTTTCGCTGACTTGGTTGACACATGTCATCGGTTCCCAATTGCGCAGATCGATGCTCATGCTGTTGATCACTGGATTGTCTGGTCCAGACTCGATTATTTACATACCGCCGCCATATAGCAGGGATATTGCTCAGTGCGGCGTAAAACTAAACTCACTCACTCACTCACTCTTTATTGCAACCGATGCGACGTTTCGATGTACATACGTAAACCGTAATCAAGTTGCTGATACACAACATATGAACAAGCAGAATGTATACATGAAGGATAACTGAGGACGGTGACGAATAGAGTGATGACCTTGTTGACAGTTGTCGTGATGATAAATGGGTATGAAGCCAAATGGACCAAGTGGGGGTGGTGTTGATAGAGAGTACGTATATTAATTTGTATTTCTAAAGATGCACATCTGTATTCTGTCTGTCGCTGTCAGGAGTTTCACCAATCATGCATTACATATTGTGTTCACCACACTGCATGCAAGTATTCCGTTGTCCACAGACTCAAGTAGACAGTCAAACCTCGATTATCCGGACACTTTGGAAAAACGAATTTCAGGAAATCTGAATCGCTCGTTACCTCCTTTACACAAAGTCGGGAGCAAAAACACCTTCTCAGTAATGCGAAAGGTTATTTAGGAGGGGTTATTTATCATTTGCAGTTATTAAAGATACGGACTCATGACTGGCGATTTTCTCTCATGACTGACTTACTGACTGAGTTTGGTTTTACGCCGCTTTTAGCAATATTCCAGCAACATCACGGCGGGGGGACACCAGAAATGGGCTTCATACATTGTACCCATGTGGGGATTCGAATCCAACATGTGCTTAATAACAAGCACATTGATGCACGGATTCTGATGCAACAAACACATCTCTTAATGCATCATGAGAGAAGGGGCGGTGGGGTAGCCTAGTGGTTAAAGCGTTGGCTCGTCACGCCGAAGACCCGGGTTCGAATCCCCACATGGGTACAATATGTGAAGCCCATTTGTGGTGTCCCCCCGCCGTGATGTTGCTGGAATATTGCTTAAAGCGGCGTAAAACTAAACTCAGTCAGTCAGTACTGAAGATCAATTCTAACCTGGATCTTCACGGGTGATAAGTGGCGAAGGAGTTACTGTTGATCGGCCTCGACTAGATGATGGTGTAGTTGACGGGCATTTTAGACGTTGATGAATAATAACAAAGTTATGCTACTTTATGGATGACATCTTCTTATATTGTGATGCGACGTTTCGGTAATTTGTTCTTATACCGTTATCTAGCAAGAGTGAAGTAATGCAACACAGAACAGAGTTAGATACATCCACGGGGGTTAAGACACACAACGTGAAGGTAGGCATCAAGATTATTAGCGTACGAAATATACTAATCTATAACTACCATCTCAGTGATGTGCGGGGCGGTAGGGCAGCCTAGTGGTCAAAGCGTTCGCTCGTCACGCCGAAGACCCGGGTTCGACTGACTGACTGACTGAGTTTGGATTTACGCCGCTTTTAGAAATGGGCTTCACTCATTGTACCCATGTGGGGATTCGAACCCGGGTCTTCGGCGTGACGAGCCAACGCTTTAACCACTAGACTACCCCCCGCCCCCCAGAATATT